TGTTGAAAGCGCCGCTTTGAACTGATTATAATTATTAAAATTAGGGTTTGACTTGGTATTATAAATTTAAATTAATTTTATATTTAAAACATGTAATTTTTTTTTCAAAAAAAAAAGTTCTATTCGTTTATTTCTTTGAGTTTTGTTTTTTCTGCAATGCCACTATATTTTTATAACTATGAAAATCGGTTATATTTTTTGAAAATGAGTTTCGACGTGAAAACAATGCATCGCAAACGGCGGGCAACATCAATGACTTATGTACGGACCTAGCACTATTGACTAACAAATTGTGCGTAATTGGTTTAATTCATTTCATTCGAGAAATTTTGACCTCACAAATGGAGTGGAGTGGAGTGGCCACCCGGAGAAGAAAGTTAATAATGACGAATTGAAGGCGATAGTGGAAGCGCATCCGTCTTAAACTATGACTGAGCTAGTATCAGCTTTTGATGTAAGTGTCAAAATAATTTTAGATACGTCATTTGTAACAAATCGGTAATATTCTTCTTTAAAGAGCTACTTTAACTCAGCGCACAGCGAGAAGCCCGCCTCCAAGCTTGCATTATATTGCTGAATCGGTATAGTAAGGAGGGAATTTTGAGTCGAATTCGAATTATTATTACATGTTCGTTACCTGCGAAGGAAAGTTGATCTTAAATGACAATCGCCACCGTTCATTACAGTAGTTACATCCAGGTGCCCAAGTTAAATAGCTAACATGACTTTAACATGAAAATGGCAAAAATATATTAAGAGTTAATAATTATAGTAATTATTTAATTTGCTTCAACGTTCGTGATGCGTAAAACAAAGGAGTGGAATAAGTTATCAGCATCTGTCTTTACATTCGATTACTATGTGGGTAAGCGTCATTCAAGACTCAAAGAAAGAGTGAATAGGCTTTTACTAAGCTAATTACCATCTTTGGCTGCATCATCACTTAACATCAATTGGGATAGTAGTAAAGTACTGGCTTAGAATAGAAAAAAATAGTGTAGAAAAATATTTGATCACTTAAAAATAATTCCATTTTCCTATACAAATCGGCAATTTTATAAGTAAAGGCCTAATATAAATTAAGTATAGAAGCAATTTTTTTATAAAATCTTTGCGAACGTTCATAAGATCTTTAAAGATCATGTATGAACATCACGTCTCATTTTAAAAGTGAAACTAATCTTTATTGTATTGATATTATGGTCTTATTCCAACAGACCGTTCAGATGGTGGCGGTCGGTTTATTCCATTTGGACTGAACTACTAACTCGCACTCTCACTCCTATTGGTGGTACTTTGAGGCACCTTGCGGCATGAGAGCGGACGTGTTCGAGAAAAACTAAATGACTGAATAACAGACGTCGTTCGGAAATGTGTCCTCTAATACTTCACAAAGAAATAGTTCACTACTCGTTAATCGTTCTTATTTTAGTTTGAACTACACAATAATAGTTACATCCAAACTCCTTTTCTAGACATCGGACTAATTCACACCATAATCTTCTAAACGTTTCATATCAATTTCTATTGGTATGTCTGATCTTGATAAATCTTCAAGGGAAAAAATATTATCTAAAAAAACTTCTAAGCCATACTTGTGTTCTTTAATAGACACAATGTCCTCCCTTTCCACACTAAATATATTTGCTTGAATAACTCTTTTAGCAGACAATTTGTAACAGAAAACTAGACCATTTCACTGCTCACTGTTATAACAAAATGATGAAGTTTTTGAAAATGTATTCAAGGCATTTATCAACCTAAAATTGTTATTTCCATAAAGCTTTAGAAGTTTTCGAAATAACAAGTCATCTCTTTCTTGCCAAGCCAATAGATTTAAAGGAGTAATTATCATTGTTACATTTATACTGTTTTGTGGTTTCACAAGACAATTTGTGGCTCAACTTTTATCCCGTGAATGTCGTTAAAGTGAAGCAAAAACATTTATAGAGATATCAAAGGCCCTGAAAATCGTGAGTTTTCTTTTAAAGTTATTATCTTATTACAATGTATATGTATATTAAAGTTATCAAATATGACGATGAATATTTAATTATTATTATTTAATTTATGAAGGACCTTCACGCTACCTTCGGGAAAGAGATAAGGGAGGTGAAGGATAGGGTTGCTCAACATGACAACCGCCTGTCGGAAGCTGAAACTCGAATCGACCAAGTGAACAATCGGGTTGACAACGTGATGGTTGACGTGAAGAAAACGCTGAACGACCTCAAAATTGGGGATGGAGTTACAGCTCCCGTGGTAGCTACAACACCTTCGCTACGTAGATTCAAAGTGCCACCGTTCGACGGGACTTCTTCCTGGTCCGCCTACAAAATCCAGTTCGAGGCTGTCATGAAAGCGAACGGCTGGAATAAAAGTCAGGCCATGACTGCTCTCACCCTAGGCCTACGCGATCAGGCCTTCGCTACAGCCCTAGGTGCTACGGCTGAGGGGAAAGGGGCCATCTTCGATCCAGCTGCCCTAAGCGAATCGTAGAATGGGAAGGTGATCGATCTCGAGAGGGTAGTGCGGCTAATAGCACCGCTTGCAGCAGCAGGGAAACGAGTAAAAGCCAGGACTGCGGGGCGGGTGCTGGCTGATGTTAAAAGAGCCCCAAGAATTTCGATCTCACAAACCCATGATGGGAACAGCCTAATCATTAAGGGCGAAGTCAACGGAACGCCGTGTAAACTGACCATAGACACTGGAGCCTCTCGCACGGTTGTCAGTTCCCAACTTATAAGTCGGTTCCTTGGGGCTCCGCATACAACCGAGAACGCATTAATTTGGTGACAGCCACCGGTCAGCGCATACCCGTCCGTGGAGAGAAGGAGATGGAGTTGAAGCTAGGCAACATGATCTATCTGTATAATGTCATCGTGGCTGATATAATGGACGACTGTATCCTGGGCCTAGACTTTATGAGGAAGAATTGTTGTGAGATCGACGTTAAGCAAGGTGTTTTGAAATGTGGACAAGAGGAACTTTTCGTGGAAGGGCGTTACCAGGGAATGTGTACAGCCTTAAGAAGATTGTTCTTCCGCCGAGATCGGAAACGATAGTGCCGGTTAGTCTTCCTCGGAGTCCTGGGCTAGCTCATTGTTGTTTACTACTAGGGTAGACAATGACCTTCCATGGAAAGTGGCTCGAACCTTGGTCAGAACCATCGACATCTCAGGAGTACGTGTGTTGAACCTTTGTGATCAGGAACAGATTATATAAAAAGGCACATTGGTTGGTACTAATGAGGAAGTGGATTGGTTGCGTCGGTGCGAATATCTATCGACTGGGACCCCCAGCAAGGATGGACAAACGAGAGTGACCACACTTTCAGAAGACTGTCGCAGCATTCTCTCCCCGAATGAAATGGTCAAGGCGAAGAAGTTGTTACTCAAGTACGCCAATGTTTTCTCGTCAAAAGAAGCTGACGTTTGAAAGACTGGCTTAGTTCAACACAAAATAAACACAGGACAAGAATTGCCTACTCGTCAGCGGCCAAGAAGATTGCCTGTAGCACGTGAAGAGGAAGTGGAAACCATGATTGAGGGAATGGTGAAGGATGGTGTTATTGAACCTTCATCTAGTCCATGGTGTTCACCTGTGGTGCTGGTAAAGAAGAAGCACGGCAGCATGCGGTTTTGTGTTGACTACCGCCGCCTGAATGACGTTAAGAAGAAGGACAGTTATCTCTTGCCAAGAATTGATGACACGTTGGACATGCTTACAAGCGTAAATTGGTTTAGTACGCTGGACCTGAAAAGTGGCTACTGGCTTCAAATTGACCCTAAGGACAAGGAGAAAACTGCATTCTCCACAGGAAAGGGTCTGTGGCGATTTAAAGTCATGCCGTTTGGATTGTGCAATGCTCCAGCAACGTTTGAAAGGTTGATGGAGCTTGTACTTACCGGGCTAATTGGAGATGCCTGTCTGGTTTATTTGGATGACATCATCATCGTAGGCCGTACGTTTGAGGAACACCTTCAAAACCTGGAACGCGTGCTCATGAAGATCCAGAGTGCCAACCTCAAGTTGAGTCCGAAGAAGTGCTCACTATTCAAACGGCAAGTTATTTTTTGGGGTATATAGTGTCGGAAGAAGGTATCCGCACGGATCCAGAGAAAATTGCTGCTGTCAAAGAGTGGCCGGTCCCAAAAGACAAGACACAGGTTAGAGCATTTTTGCAGATATAGCCAAACCTCTTCACAAGCTAACCGAGGAGAAGCGACATTTCTGCTGAGATGAAAGTTGCGATATTGCATTCCAGGAGCTCAAGAACTGTCTGTGCAAAACACCTATTTTGGGGGTACCCTGATGCGGGCAAGGAATTCATAGTTGACACAGACGCAAGTGGTATAGGACTTGGCGTTGTGTTGTCTCAACGGAATGGTGATCAAGAGATTGTGATAGCGTACTTCAGCAAGTCGTTGTCAAAGCCGGAAAGGAACTATTGTGTCACAAGACAGGAATTGCTTGCTGTGGTAAAGTCCTTGCAGCATTTTAGCAAATATCTTCTAGTGCGGAAATTCCACTTATAAACTGACCATGCTGCACTGAAATGGCTATTGCAGTTCAAAAATCCGGCAGGATAAGTTGCGAGATGGATTGAACTACTGCAGGAATACGACTTTATGATCGAACATCGCAGCGGGAAATCTCATGGCAATGCAGATGCATTGTCAAGAAGACCTTGGCCTGAAGATTGCAAGCATTGTACTAGGCAAGAGGGTAAGGAAGTGGTATCTGTGAGGATGCTCAGGACAGACCAACTCAGCAATGAGTGGAAGGACAGCCTACAACATGCACAGTATGAAGATTCGGACATTAAGCCGATTATGGAATGGATGAAGGCCAGTGCTCCTAAGACCAAGTGGAGTGACGTCTCAGCAATGAGTTCGACCACGAAAAGCTATTGGGCCCAATGGGACAGCTTGCTGATTCAGGATGGATTCCTGTGCCATAAATAGGAAAATGGTCGGGGAGACAGTTGTTATTTGCAAATGGTTGTCCCTAAGGCTAAAGTACCGGATGTTCTACAGCTGTACCATAGTGGTTGTTCAGGAGGCCACATGGGAGTTAAACGAAATCTACTGAAGATCCGAGAACGGTTTTACTGGGTCCACTGTCGTGACGATGTCGAGGACTGGTGTCGCAAATGTAAAAGTTGCACGGCTGTAAAGGGACCTCGAATTCGTAGTAGAGGCGCATTGAAATTATACAATGTTGGTGCACCATGGGAGAGGATAGCCATTGACGTTGCGGGGCCGTTTCCGGAAAGTGAAAGTGGTAACAAGTATTTCATGGTTGTGATAGATTACTTCACTAAGTGGCCAGAAGTCTTCGCCATTCCAAATAAAGAAGCTTCAACAGTTGCAGATAAACTAGTTCATGAAGTCTTCTGTCGTTTTGGAGTACCCTTAGAGATTCACAGCGATCAAGGAAGGAATTTCGAGTCTTAAATATTCCAAGAAACTTGCAGAGTTATGGGTACTCATAAAACACGAACAACTTCTTACCACCCACAATCTGATGGAATGGTAGAACGATTTAATCAGACATTGGAAAGGTACCTGGCAAAAGTTGTGGAAAAACGGCAACGAGACTGGGACAGGCACATACAACCATTTTTGTTGTCATATCGAAGCGCTGTTCACGAAAGTACATCAGTGACGCCAGCTTTCGCAAACTTTGGGAGAGTATTACGGCTGCCTGCAGACCTGATCGCCGGAATACCACCTGATGCCCGACGCAGTATAACCGATTATGCAAAGGACTTGCGGAACAAAATGAATGACATTTATAAGCACGTCAGACAGACGGGCCAGCAAACGTCTGAGAAGATGAAAACACGGTATGACCGCAAAATGAACAACAAGGGGTTTGATGAAGGTTCACTAGTGTGGTTATACAATCCAGTTCGCAGCAAAGGGAAATCTCCTAAGCTTCAAGCTAAATGGGACGGACCGTACCGGATTGTGACAAGGATCAATGATGTAACCTACCGGATACAGAAAGGTGCCAGAGGTACTCCTAAGATTGTCCATGTGGATCGACTGGCGCGTTATTATGGGGCCAATAATGCTCGGGACGAGCATGTCTTAGAAGGGGGCAGTGTTGCGCGCCACTATTAATGTCTTGTACATGGCAACACTAGTTACACTAGCGCCCTCTAGTGTCGAGTAAAAGAAAGTGTTGCGCGCACTATTAATGTCTTGTACATGGCTACACTAGTTACACTAGCGCCCTCTAGTCTCGAGTAGCAGAACTAGGAGAGTCGAGATCCTTCCAGAAATTTCGGGACCGATATGTACTCGAACATTCTAGATGTCGCTACAGTAGAAGGTTCTGGAAACTATCTGAGGCCCTATATAAGGCCGGTATAGACCACGACCGGGGCAGTATAGAATTGGCGATACAAGAGAATACTTCGAAGCGAAATAACGGCGAACTGTGTTTTATTATTAGTGTGATTTTAGAATGTTATTAGTGTTGTGTAATTAAAGTGTCAATTTTGGTAATTCAATCGGCAGTTTTTAATAGTCTCGAGCCCCAAGCTCGTAACAATACTATTATTTACTGAGTTCAATAAACGAGAATATTCTATATTCAACACGCATGTTTTTACGCATGTTCACCGATTTTTCTTGGAAACGACTAAATGATTCTTATATTAAAAATGATATATGTACCCATATAAATATAAAGAAAAAATCCAACACATGGGGTGGAAAAATAGGACGGGTAAATTAAAATATAACTATTTAGACGAAATTCTAGTAGTAACCTCGAATGTGTGATATTCTTTCGTTCATACAAAATGCGTTCATACAATTAATTAATTAAACTAAACTTGCATAAGGTATCGAAGAATTAAAGTCCAGGATTCAGAAGCTATAAATAAATAAATAAATAAGCCTTTTCTTTCCACATCAAAATATTTAACGTTCGTTAAATGTTTGTTAGTTGTGGTGGTTTATTTAACTTATTAGTCTCATGTTTGAGTAGTTACATATTTTCCAGGAATATGGACTTCCGCTTGGGTAAAGACCACCTCCTTATCCTTCCTTAATTATTTGTCTTTGCTTAGGGCCAACCTGTCTTGCCCTTTCTTAGCAACGAAATCATCAGCCCACCGTTTAATTGATCTGCCGACTTTTCTTTTAGCTAACGATCCTCTCCAACATGTTATTTTTATGGTCCATCTATCGTCTGTGAACCTCGAGATATTCTCTCTGATTATTTCTGATCTAATTTTGTGTATTTTCCTGATTTTTAATATAGTTCTCTCATATTTTTTGTTTCTTTTTCTGTGTGTAAATCCACGTCTGACAACAATACAGAAAGCAAGGCAGCAGAAAGTTTTCAATAATATTTTTTTCATATTTAGAAAAAATAATATAATTAGTAAAACCATGCTGTAGTTGCACTATGGCTACATCAAACCCAATTTTTACGTCGTTAAATTGGTTTTGTGGTTGTGTGACAAAATTGGACCCGTTAGAATAAATTCCTACTCGGTAGTTTAATAAGAGATGCCGTCAAAATAGAAATAACGTACAGAAAGCTAACGAAGCTATTTTAAATAAAGTCAAAGGAGTGTAGTGTAATTAAGAGTGTAGGATCATATGCAAGTTCTAAATGTACTTATTAGAGAACCAGTATAGAAACTGTATGCTAATCTTTTAAGAGCTATGCAAAAGCAAGTTTATTCCCCTAGCAAAACGTGCTTTGAAGTGAGAGTTATTATTTTAAGTTATTTCTACTAAAATATGATTACAAATAAACAAACACCTCTTTAGTTTAGATGCCTATTCCTTACGTATTTTTCTCTCACCGCCAGCATGTGGTAAATCAGCACTTAAAATTGCAATTAACAATATCATTGGTGTCGGCGGGGATCGGACCCAGGCACTCGTGTACCTCTGAACTACCTCGCCTCACTATAGCTTAGTTAAAAATTTTGTTTCTAATTTATAACAACTCATTAGGCAACATCCGAGCTTAGTAAGGAGTCACTCTTAAATAATTGGAATTTACAACTATTGTACACTAGGATTAACCATGTATGATAAAGATAATGCTACATAATTATTTTTATATATTGAATTAAACTTTATTATTGTTGTTTATAGAATTTGGGTGACAAACGAGCATACAATCATAAGTGGATGCCTTGGCCCATAGGCACCAACATCTTTAATTAAGAATCGTAATGTAGATGCGTTGTCACCATTGAGGACATATTCGTGTGTACACTATATTAAAAAAAGAATTAATTACACATAGAACAGTTTCTAAGTATCTATTTTTGTAATATTGTTTTTGTTGGTTTCAAACAAGAATCTACACAATTACCATACATAACAAAAAAGATCATGGCGGTAACATTATGTCATTTAATCATGACATTTGAGACATAATTACTAGAAATCTTTGTATGTGTCAAGAGACAGTTGACATTTCACATCAAACTTTGGTTGCCCGTCTTTTGATTAATAAATCATTTTAAGCCATTTGGGTATACATTTATACAAATTATATTATGTATTTTCCGATATTCCACCTACATTTCTCAGTGTATTTGTGGTAGTGTACGTAGACCTAGCCCGTTTTGAAACATATGATTGTCTAATACATTAGTATATAGGTACGTAACATTACTATAATATATTACATATACAAATAATCCTACTACAGTATATAATCTAACTGAATCTAATCTATATACCTATATCTTAGATAAATATAATTATGACATTGCCGTTTTGTTGATTTGGCCAATTTCAACTGTAATTAATAGCAATGGTTTGTCTAGGAATTCTATATTCAAATAAATTTTGTAATAAGAGCATCTTATTACTTATTAATATCAGTTATTCCTTTGTTTATTTTTTATACATGTGACTTTTGAATATCAGTACCGACGTGGAAACAGTACATCTCAAACGGCACACAATATCCATAACGTATTAGAGTCCTGGCACTAACAAACGAACTGATCGTTATCGGTCCAATTGCTTTTGTTCAGGACCTTGTGCCCGCCCGGAGAAGAAGGTTAAATGACGAACTAAAGGCGATAGTGGAAGTGAATCTGTCTAAAACTATATATCGTCGGCTTTTAATATATGTATAAAAACAACGTATAATTTTGGAAAATCGGTACAATAAAGAAATTTTACAAATAGTTATCTCACGAAGTAAATAATGCAAAGCGAGTGATGCACTTTCATGCTTGCATCATATTGCTAAATCGGCACAGAAAGGACATTTAAAGTCTAATTCTTATTATATTAAAAAAATCAAATTTCCCCTACAAAACAGCATTTTCATAGCAATAGCAATTTATTAACAATTTCAATTTCATTTCATAAACCTTATATATTTATTCAAAAAAAATTGCCTATACAATACATGAGGTCATTATGCTCTCGGACAGATATACAAATATATCAGTATGTATTCTTGTAATGTATATTGAATAAAAATTATTCTATTTTATTCTATTCTATTCTATTTACTCAGTTTCTACACCTAAATACACAGACTGAAGTCGAAAGCAGCTTCGAAGAAACGCCACGTTTGGTATTGCGATCATCGATGCACTTATTGATTGTTACAATTTAGTATCTCTTTTTCTCATGTACATGAAAGAGGCCCTTGCATATCAGTTGATTTTTATGGTGTGGCGTAGCAGAGAGATATAGAGAAAGAGAGAGAGAATCATAAAGGAAGCTTTTGTATTTAATTGTACTAAAATGCAAGCTAAAGTAGGTTGTGGAGTAGTTTGCAGACAACAAACTTTAAGGAAATGTACAAACCTGAGTTTAAATCTCATGAATTTTCGACAGAGGCATTGAATATAGTAACATCATTTACTTAACAATTGCCGTAGCGAATTGTAGTTATAGCTCTATTAAAACGTGTTGTGTTAACTCGTGGGCGGGAAATTAACAAGATATGTATATCGTTTACTTATCCCATTTCGGCAGCGTAAGCTAAATGAAAACAACAATAACAATTAAACTTTTGTATATTTTCTATATAAGCATCGTCCACTTTCTCTCGTTTCTGTAATATGAATGCTGCCAGTGGTTTTTACATGCTCCAACGCGCTCAATGCTCGAGGCATGAAAGACCGCGGTTGTATGCGGTGTGGAAGCTACTTTTACTGTTAACTAGCGGATGAAGGCGGCTATAAACGAATTTGGCTTGGTCGGATTTCGACAGTTCATTGTCATCATATAGATAAAAAAAAAATGAAAAAAGTATGGAAGAATGGAATTACGTAATTCTTCTATAGTGGCTTAATTGTATGTAGAATGGAATAATTTTTCACAATATGGATTACCAGTAATAATCATTCAAATTCTTTTATGTTTTTACCACTGGAAGTAATTTATGTCTTTACCTTTTACCTGGCAATGCGATTCCATGGCCTGACACGTGACTTATTTTCAAA